AATAAAGTTTTTGGAAGCATTTTCGAGAAATTTTTGTGCTTTTGCTTCATTAGCAAAAGATTATCTTCTGATAATTAATTATCTCATTCTGAAAGAATGTGCAATGTCTTGCACACACCTGTAATACACAATGGTTCTTATTTTTTTCTTTTATTAAAGTGGTTGCTTAAAGATTGTCTAATTTTTCTTGCATGTGGAAAACAAAAAAATTAGTCTAAAACTAAGCAAAGTAAGTAAACTGTCTGATACGAGTATTAATTTTTAATAAAATTCTTTAATATTAATTAGAATGAGCAAAATTATCGCATTTTTTTCACTGCTTGAAATCATTTTAGTATTAAATATTCTTTAGAGATTAGTAGATTTATTCTCAGAAGGTATATTTGGTGGCTAAAATACTACCCTGTTTCCCCCCAAATTACACCTAATCAGTCTTAGTACGATTTTTCAAGATGATCGTAATATAAGTCCTACTCCAAAAATAAGTCTTAGTTAAGATCGTCACCCAGACTTAATGCTGAATGACTAGTCGGAGTGCGGACTCAAGATACCTGAACGCTTGATAATGAACGGAAATGGTTGTGACTATTCATAATCTTTACAATTTACGAGTAATAAGTCGTGTGTATAACTTACTTAATATACACCTTTAAAATAAAGAAATATTTTCTGAATTTTGTGCAGTTTTTCGTTGTTTTTGAATGATTTATCATTCTTAACAGTTTCTGTTTCCATTTCTGTCTTGAATGTCTTTAATTAACTGTTGAGAACTAAATAGGTTTGAAGGGAATAGTATTTTAACCCCTAAAAGTATGAATGTAAAAAAGAGAGATTTCATCAAGTACAAGAAAAGAATCGTAAAGTAAATCTAAGACAAGAATTTTACAGTTTTCTGCAAAGAGAAGTTAGATCTCCGAGTGGCCTGAAATAAAGATTAGAATACAGTACAATGCACAAATGGAAGAGGTAAGAAACACAAATATGCGTGAGATTGGCAGTCAGTTGGAAGACATCACCTGTAAGTTGATCGTTGATAGAAAAGCAAGTAATATTAATAGTAAAATAGTCTTTCGCTGGACTAATACTCAAACATTTGCCCTTCCAATGGCACCGCAGTTAGAAAGCGGCACATCCTGGAAAAATTCAGAATATAACAATGTTGTTGAGAATATCATAATATTGTAATTCATACCTTCAATCAGCGTTATGAATTGCCCTAACGAAGACAGGCAAAGACGAAATTCAACGTTTGGAGTTTATGATGATGTGCCAGAAGAAGTTGGAATGACTGGTACTTTGAATAAATGTGATTTTTTTGGACATGAACAAATGTATAAAAATGCAGGTTTCTCAGTATATGAATAAATGAAGGTTGTTGAAGCGGATAAAATTTAATTGCAGTGCGGGAAAAATTAAAATATGCTCTGGAAATAAACCCTAATGCGTCTTTTGGACTAAACTTCAATGTTAGTTAATGTTTGCTAAAATTTGCCAATATTTCCGGTAAGCCTGAAAATACTCCTAAGATAATGAAAATAAGCATGAATTCCAAAAATAAAAATAACAACAAATTTATTAAATTTGAATTCCAAAAATAAAAATAACGACAAATTTATTAAATTTATTAAATTTGAATTCCAAAAATAAAAATGACGACAAATTTATTAAATCTACTGCAGGCCTCCCTGCTTTCCAAAATTTTCAAGGACCGTATGTGCTCCACAGGTGATCAATTACTAATTTCTAATCTAAATTAATAAAATGAATTTCTAACGTCACATGGCCAACCAGTTTGAGACCACTGAACGAACACTTGCAGCTCGTCCTGAGCACAATTCTCTCCCAAGATACTGACTGCGTGTCCTGTCCCTGTTTTTTTTTTTTTTTTTTTTTTTTTTTCCATATGTAATTTAAATACGAGCCAGTTCTCTGTAGAAAGTCTTTCAAGAAAGTTTTTCTCTTATTGCAGATAATCCTTGCTTAATTTGCCACTATCAGTTAACAGACCATCCGAAATCAAATATTATGTATAATGGTCATAGAGCCGCCTGGACTTCGAATATCTCCTGCACATTACCCAACAATGAAATTAAATATATGCTGTCTAACAGCAGTCATTGCAAAAAGTTCAAAGCAACAGATTCAAATTAATTTAAAATTTTTATGTGACATTATCGACATTTTTATGTGACATTATCGACATTTTTATGTGACATTATCGACACTGGCAAGATTTTCCAATATGCAGTTTCATCGACATTGATTAATGCCAAAAAAATTAAGAGTGTCTTTTGGGCAATCAATTTAACCTTGTTGTAGCCATGGAAACCTGTAACATTTTTTTCGGTTCTTGAAGATATAAGAATTTTTATTAGAATTATTTACAGAGATGTGATAAATAATTCCTAGAAAATGTATGTTCATTATGATTAGCAATAAAATTTTATATTGAATTAAAAACATTACTTTAATTATTCATTATGTATTTCAGAGTTGTCGAACGTATAGTACCTAATGTTGATATATTTCCATGGTTTATCGAAACATTTTGTTTCTATAAAGCATAATGTTGACATATTTCCATGGTGTTTTTAAACATTTTGGCTCATGTCTATAAATATCATTTGTATTAACTGGCATGAACTAAAATATTTATTCAAAAATAATACTATGGGCCATAACTATAATTTCTAGTTTGACGTTTTTGACAAGTGCTACCTATGAAAAGAATGAAATTAATAAAGATGTAGATAAAAATGTTGTATAATATGTTACATATAGTTATTTCATATGGTTCTTATCCGTACAATTGCTACTGTATGTAACTAAGCAACTATAAGGTAAACATTTGTAGTATGCAACTATGAAATCAGCATATAAGTAATGGATATCAAATGGTGTATTGAGTATAATATAGAAAATATATAACCTTTAGAATATTGAGTAATGTTATAATGAATACAGAAATCCTTTAAATTTAAGAAATGGAATAATTGTATGTAAAGACAGAGTATGTTGGGGAGTACTAGTTCAAAACAGTCTATTTTTAGCTCTGCGTAATTATTCTTTTTATCCTCTTGATACAAGATAAACCTGAAAGCATGAACCTTATGAAAAAATATGATTTTTTCGTACAGAATTATTATTTTAATTTTTTATATAATGGAATGCTGCTTTATTTATTTATTTGTCTTTATATAATGATATATTTAATGCAGTTCACAAAGGCCAGTTAGCTTATGTAAGAAACGCAGAGTTTCATAAGTAACCATCAGAGCATCCCTTAACTACTGAATTTATACATCAGTCAATTAGAGTGGATATGCCCAAGAGATGGATATGTTTGCATTTGAAGAAAACTGCGGAGTCTTCGAGTTATGTGTAAAATAAAAAAATTATAAATGAAATAACAACAAAGCAACCATAATTTCAAATATTATAATATTTATGATGTTAAAGCATAAGTTAAAATAATAAGTATTATAATATTTATGACGTTAAACCATAAGTTATAAATGTGAAAGTTACTGCAGTATAAAATTTTAAGATTTGTCATGAATATTCCAAATAAGTAATGGATGAATAAAATTTTTATAGTTGTGATATTCTGTACAAAATTTTTGAACAATCTTTCTTGAAGAATCATGATTATCATATGTACTCAAAATCAAGAACTATCGTATAATGTCAAAATCAAGAACATTAAGAGAATCAAGAATAATTTCAGAATGTATGCCAAATCAAGAACATTTTAAAGTTCAACTGAAATATTAGTAATTAATGGGATTTAAAAAAATTACTTTCAAAAAACAAGTTTTTTTTTTTTTTTTTTTTTTTTAATTAGACTGAATATTGAAAAACAGGAATATAAAAATTGCATTTGTTCTCTAAGTTGTAGTGCTCAAAATTTAGGTTGTACGTAATTAAAATATTAATACAAAATTTCCATGGTTATATTTTCTAAATTACATTTCTTTTATTTTGCTGCTGGAATGCTTGATCTCTTAAAAAAACTTTTCTGTCGCTGAGCCTTTTACTCTTTTAAAGGGAAAAAGTATGTAAAGATAAAAAAAATGCGTAAATCAAAACTATAACTTAAATTTAAAATATCTCCTTGATTCTTCCTTTTAATTTGAGCATTCTTCCTCTCCATTCTAAAAACATTAATTGCTTATAATAATTTTTTTCTGGAGTGAGTTATTTCTAGATTAATTCATATCATACATCTTTTACATAACGCTGGCGATGTAAATGGAACTAAAACTCAAATACTTAGTAATAATTTACTATCTTTATTATTTGTTCAATGAAATTGTTATTAAAACCGAAACTAACTAAATAAAAACCTAGCTCTTTTTCTAAAAAAAAAAAAAAATTAATTTTGTAAGGGACTTACGTAGTGAACACTATAGTTTATAAAAAACAACCTTTTTATTCACCAAAATTGCTATAGAAAAATAAAATGTTACTAATTTAAGCTTTTTGTGTCACTTCTAAAAATTTTAAGTAAGCATAGAAATTTTAAATTCCCGAAAATCTCAAATTTGATAAAATATAACTAATAATCTGATAAAATATAAACTGCTTTGTTATGCTAATGCATTAAAAACTGTAGTAAAATAAAATATATTTTAAAGAGAAATGTTTAATCAAAAGCTCCTAAAGTTACATTCTTGACAATATATGTTACTTATTTTCTATTTGCTTTGTTCGACGTTTCCGCGAACTGTAGGCGTTCAAAATCGAACGGTATTATTTACGCATGTGATTATGCTTCTGTGTCATAACAAACACAGCCGTTTAGGTAGAAATGTCTTTCCCTGTCTTATTGGTCTTTTTTGACAAGCTTTTTTTTTTTTTTTTTTTTTTTTTTTTTTTTTTTTTTTTTTCACTAGAGTAGACAATACTAAAAATGTTGAGTAAATACATTTATCAAAATAAAATTTTAAAAAGTGCACAGTATTATTGGATTTGGATCTGCGTTTATTCCGAACTTATAATCAAAAGCAGAAACATTATTTTTCAAAACAACTACAGAAGAATGCAGAATCACAGATAGAAGTACTTCCTGATAACTTGAATGTTCATTTACACATCTCAAATCATTTCTGATCACTGGTACAAAATGAAAACTCTTCACTGAAAAAACAGGGTGCAAAATCAAAAAAAATATATATATATTATATATAATATTAAAAGTGAATAAAAAATTAAAAGGTAAAAACTTAAAAATGTGCGCAGCCTGCAACTAAAAGCTCAAGGAAAATTGACTTCATATCTGCTGGAAACACTGTAAGGATTATGTTAATTTCTTTAACAGTTAAATTTTAAGGAAATTTAACAGGAAGTTCCTTTCCTGTCTTCCTGAATTTCAACTTAAAACTTCCAGCCAGAACGTAGCTTTAGAATCGCGTTTTAATGCAAATGAGGAGAAGTATTTAGCCGTGAAGTTATACTGAATTCGTGAGGGAGAACCAGTGATTCTGGCTAGCACGCGTCCGCCTTTTTAGGCTACTCTCTTTTAAGCTATTATTGCGCTCGGCTGTACTTTAGGCCTTTTCGCCGTTATTTAGCTTTAAGGGGCCAACTCGGTTAGAATCTTGATAGCTTCGGCTATATCTTTTTAGTTAAGATTAGTTTAGTTCTTAGTTTCCTAATTTCAAGCCCGAGTGGCGGCTTTATTGTAAAACTCCAAGACGGAGTTCTGTTAAACCTTATTGGAATAATAAAGGGTAATTTCACACTTCTTACATGTTGTCTCTGTCTCAAGAACTCGAGCGATTATTCGCTAATCAATTCTTAAGATTCTTCAACTTCAACTGTAACTTAAAAGTACACAGGATAGAATTTTACAACTCTTTTAATATTGTTCCTGGATCTGTGTTTGTTAGTTCAAGAAATATATAAAATATGTTCTAGAATAGAAACTACCACAAGAACTTTGGAAACTCTCAAAGCCAAATATGACCATTTTATCGCTTATTTCTCCAGGTGTTATTAACTTTTTGTAAACAGGCTTAACGCATAAGACATATTTTCAACTAAAATAGCTATATTTTTCTGTGCAAAAAGTAGATTTATTTTCAGTTACGGATAAGGTTTGGAATAGGTTTTCAGTTATGGAAAAGATTTCAGTTATGGAATACCAATACGCGCTGTCACTGCGTATTACTGGGAAATAGCGTTCGGCATAACTGCATTCGTTGTGCGAGGTATCTGTCATTGTTTATAAATTAATGAATAAATCTGATTTTAGAAAATAAATTTTTTTAGTAATAAATTACAGAAATTCTTCCTAAAACAAATTTATTCAATTTATTTATGTTCTAATTTTATCAAAAATAATTTTTGGACTATCAAAATAGTCTAAAAATAAAATTAAACAATTAAACCTTAATTTAATAAAATAAAATTTTTCTTGTTCAGCAGTCGACTGTTGAAACAGAAAATTTAGCATGGTTGAGTTCGCCAATTTAGAGCGATAAATGACAAAATCAAGTTTCAGGAGTTGCTTAGTGACAGCACTTAAACGCAGATAGCTACGGATTGCCTAAAAGCGAGATCATCTGGCGTCATCCGTTTGTTGGCGCAAAGTCGGCTTTTTCAACTTTCACCCGACCTCGATGCCTTTAGAAAAAAGAAAAAATGAAAAAAAAAAAAAAAAAAGAATAAAAAGAGAGAGAATATTAAGGTCGAACGAATAATTTATTTAGCGTTAAACGGGAAGTATTTTAACTGCTGAAATATTAGGGACCATGACGGCTATGCGGTTTAAGGAAAATAACGAAGCTTTTTTATAACTTTTACTAGTCTTCTGCCTAAAATAGCGGATCTACTGAAGATTCAGATTCGTCGTTAATAATTAAAAATACTTTTAATCTAAATCCGAAATAAACTGTAAGAATTGTTAATTGTCATAAGATATTCTATTCTCTAATTGAAAAGGACTTAAATATACTGAAAGATAAATTATATAGAAAATCACAAAATAGAAAAATTACGAGATGTAATAAAAATGATTAAAATGTTATAAAATAAAAAGATTCAGGGAAGTAACTATATATCTTATTATCAAAATTAATAAAAATATTATAAAATAATAATATCTTGATAAAATATAGCATGTATCAAAGACCAGTAGATGAAGAGCTGAAACATCGTATTTGTTGACCATTGTAATAGCAATATTGCTAAAATCAATATTGAACAGCATTTTTATTTATAAGGTTAGAATTGTTGAAGCTGTGTAGAAGCGTTGATGCACTGTAAAAATAAGAATGACAAATAAAAGATAAATGAAAAAAAGAAAACTGTAGTCTATAGAGTTTAGGTAGTATAATACTACTTCGAAAAGTGAATTATCATAATTTTTTTAATATTTAAACAATTTTTTAAATTTAAAATTCAAGAATACATTGCAAATTAAATGTACTGTCATTTACAATTAGTTATATCATTAAAGCTTTTAATTATTAAAGGAGTGCGTTTGTTATTTTTACATCGTTCAGTTTGCTAATCAGAAACAGACTGATTAAATTTAAATTTAAAGATATTACGTTCTGCTGTATGGCAGCACTCTATTATTATTATTATTTTATGATCTTATGTTTAGTGCAATGGTAACATTTGGTACGAGTCTTCCCGTTCTTGCTATCCATCAGTTTCCGAGGCGTGATCACAACTACAGATTTTATTTGCAGAAATGAATTATTTATGTTAAATGAAAATAATGCAAAATATAATAAATATAAAATAATATAAATAAAATATAAAAAGACAAAAATATTAATAAGTTATATTAAATTAATGATAAATAGATAAATATATTGTAAAGATTTAATAGAACAAAAAACATATGGAAGGTCAGCAAATTAATTAGAAAGAAACGCCTGGTATCAAGAGAAAAAGAAAAGTAAATATGAATGTAGTGCAGGAGTAATGCAATGTGTAGAAAAATAGTAAAGATAATATAATGTGAAGAATACTTTATGAAGGATATTCTGAAGGAATGTGACATGTGTAACGTGTATACGAGCCAGTTTCCCTTGGAAAGTCCTCCATGAAGGCATCCCTCCCCTTAGGCAGATAGCCCTAGTGTGCTTTGCCATAATTAAATATACCACCACACCACACCACCTGAAGGAATGTGAAGAATATATTGGACCTAGTATCAGTCTTACTAACTGCTGAAATATTAATTGAGTAATAGAATTTTCTGCTGATATGAAATTTAGCTTCATAACAGTCGTTTTATATGCCTTCTTAAACAGAGAACAACTTTAAATTATAAATATACACTGTAAAAAAATAAAATAGGAAGCATCGCGCAACATATTCGACATTTCGTTTAAAATAGAGATCAGTTGTGATATTCAACATGATAAGCGATTTTTTTGGGGGGGGGGGGGGGATGAGAGTGGTATAAGGAAGCTGGGGCTACAAATTTTAAATCAGATTTACAGTGAGGTTATTTTATTCTAATCAAGCACTCGATATATAACTGCCCCAGCGGCCGAGCGGTAAAGTTGCTGAACACTGGTAGTTCGGTCCGAGGTTCGAATCCCGCGAACGGGCTGGCTGCATGGGCGTTTTCGTGGTTTTCCCCATGTGTAACTTGTATACGAGCCAGTTTCCCTTAGAAAGTCCTCCACGAAGGCATCCCTTCTCTTAGGCAGATAGCCCTAGTGTGCTTTGCCATAATTAAATATACACATACACACACATACACGATATATAACTTCACCAGCTTTTGCCAAGGCATGTAGGTCAAAGCAGAACAATTTGCAGAACTTTAACCGATCTCCGGAGAAAATACATTGAGACTTTCGATGAAGCATGGGCTTTTGTAAGTGACTGCAAAAAGAAAAGGTCTGTTTATTACTGAAAACGAAAGAAAATATGTAAGTAACTGGTTCCGGCAATGCAAAGAAAGTTCAGTAAGGGATTTATAATTGTCGCAGGATTTTCTTACAATGGGAAATTAAAAATAAGAAGAGGGGAAAATATTAAAACAAACTTTACATTATATCAGGAAAAAGTTTTACGTCCGATATTTAAAGAAATTCTATTTTATTATCTGTATTCATGATTTTCAAATAGTGAAACTTAATCAGGAAAAAACAACAAGTCATACTTCGAAGAGTACCATTGCATTCCTTGATAGAAGTTACCTTTCCAACGCATTTATGCGAAGTCCTTTGACATTTCACCTGTGGTCTATGTGTCTTTGGTCTCTTGGAAAGATCTTTTTCTAAGCGCAAATCCAGCACGACTCTGGAAGGTAATGGAAGAGGAATGGAAATCAATATCCTCGGAAATTTTATATCTAAAAGCCCTTCCATCATAAAACTCATGATGCAGACTTGTAGTATAGGCCAGAAAAAAGGCTATCAGATTAAACATTTAAAAAAACATTCTTTAAATCTGAAATGCAACGACCCCGAAATCGTTTTAAAAGTTTATAAACACCCTCAACTTCTAAGTACTATAACGTATTCTTCAGAAGAATATAACCAACGAGTAAAGAAATGACACTTGTTTTCTTTAATTTCTTTCCAGTGCCTACACACATTCAGTCACACTCGGCAAAAGTTTTCGAAGATATCAGGTGTACTTTTTTAGACAATTCTGTGCGATTATTTACGTTTACGTTAAATTATTAATCCTTCTGTTCTTTTTTCGTTATTTTACAATAGTCTAAAGGTTGATTAAGTAATTAATAATGGCAAAACATTCAACGACTATTTGCTTCTGTTCTAAAGGAAACCGTTCTTTTTTAAAGCTTGAAGATTAAAAAAAATATTCTCATTTCTGTTCATGCTTTAATTCCTTCTACTTAACCGGCTACTCAATGGTCGCCATTTCCTCAAGTGCTCCAGAAATTATACTTAAAGGTCAAGAACAATTTCTTTTCAAGTTCCCCTTCTCTAATTAATCTTCATTTCCTTTCATGTATTGTTATTTAAAATAATTTATTCAGCTTTCATTTTTGAGATAAGTCCTTCTTTCTTTCAGAAAAGAAAATAGTTATTTACTTTCAAGTCTTTACGTAGAATTTTGTGAGTATCTTTTCTGATAATATGTTTAAGACTTACTTCTTATTTAATGATTCCTAAATCGCTAAGTGTCGAATTTTTAAT